AAAAAAAAAAAAAAAAAGAAAAGAAAAGAAAAACCCACATCACTATTATGAAATTAACACAGGTTCTAAAAATAAATCAATTCATTAGGAAAAAAATTTATAAAGTCTTTATCAATTTTAAAGCATACCTGGCCTTGCAATTCTGGTCTTACAGGATATGTACTTGGGTAAGGAGCCCTAGGTCGTGCAGAATTCCAATAGTTAGAATTGTAGCTAGGATATGATGGCTGTTCCTAAGAAAAAAAAAAATAGATTCACTTTTAATAACATTCTCACATTATTTTAAAATAGAATGACAGAGACAGTTTATGAGCATCAACAAAAAAAAGCAACAGACAAAAAGCAATAGAATCCCACTATAAAACCATTCATTAAATTGATGCAGATATATTACATGATAAATCAAACACTCTAACAGGGGTCCTCAAACTTTTTAAACAGGGGGCCAGTTCACTGTCCCTCAGACCGTTGGAGGGCCGGACTGCAGGCCCCGGAATGAGTCGGCTGCTAAGCAGGACAGGCAGTGGTGGCAAAAACACCTGGCAGGTGGGATAAATGTCCTAAGCGGGCTGCATGTGGCCCGCAGGCCGTAGTTTGAGGATGCCTGCTCTAGAACAAAGCTATTATTGGCAATGTATCCAGTAAAAGCCTATTCTTACACATTATGCCAATGCCACCATACAAATGATATATAAAGGAATTCTTCTGTGTTCAGGATGATTAGCAAAACTAGATATACTAGATTACTTTATCTTCACCCATCACACTCATCACTACTAATTTGTACAACAAGAGTTCTTTACCTCTCTTAAGAGTATTTACCTAGGGCGGCACCTGTGACTCAAAGCAGTAGGGCACCACCGACCCCATATGCCGGAGGTGGCGGGTTGAAACCCAGCCCTGGCCAAAAAAAGAAAAAAAAAAGAGTATTTACCTAATAATTTGTAAATGTGAAGATATTAATACTAAAGTTTACTTCAGGCTCGGCGCCTGTGGCTCAAGCGGCTAAGGCGCCAGCCACATACACCTAAGGTGGCGCGTTCGAATCCCCAGCCCGGGCCCGCCAAACAACAATGATGGCTGCAACCGAAAAATGGCCGGGCGCTGTG